CATCAATTGGAGAATGAACAATAGGTTACTGAATGATCAATGGGTTATAGAAGACATCAAGGAGGAAATTAAAAAATTCTTAGAGATAAATGAAAACACAGACACAACATATCGGAATCTATGGGACACATTGAAAGCAGTTCTAAGAGGAAAATTCATTGCTTGGAGTTCATTCCTTAAAAAAAGAAAAAACCAACAAATAAATGATCTCATACTTCATCTCAAAATCCTTGAAAAAGAAGAGCAAAACAACAGCAAAAGAAGTAGAAGGCAAGAAATAATTAAAATCAGAGCTGAAATTAATGAAATCGAAACAAAAGAAACAATTGAAAAAATTGACAAAACTAAAAGTTGGTTCTTTGAAAAAATAAACAAAATCGACAGACCCTTAGCGATGCTAGTGAAGAGAAGAAGAGAGAGAACTCAAATTACTAGCATACGGGATGAAAAAGGCAATATCACAACAGACACTTCAGAAATACAGAAGATAATCAAAAACTATTTTGAATCCTTATACTCCAATAAATTAGAAGATAGTGAAGGCATAGATAAATTTCTTAAGTCATATGATCTGCCCAGATTGAGTCAGGAGGATATAGAAAACCTAAACAGACCAATATCAATTGAGGAGATAGAAGAAACCATCAAAAGACTACCAACTAAGAAAAGCCCAGGTCCCGATGGGTATACAGCAGAATTTTACAAAACCTTTAAAGAAGAACTAATACCAATACTTTTCAAGCTACTTCAGGAAATAGAAAAGGAGGGAGAACTTCCAAATTCATTCTATGAGGCCAACATCACCCTGATACCTAAACCAGACAAAGACACTTCAAAGAAAGAAAACTACAGACCAATATCTCTAATGAACCTAGATGCAAAAATCCTCAATAAAATTCTGGCGAATCGGATACAAAAACATATCAAAAAAATTGTACACCATGATCAAGTAGGATTCATCCCTGGGATGCAAGGCTGGTTCAATATACGGAAATCAATAAATGTTATTCACCACATCAATAGACTTAAAAATAAGAACCATATGATCATCTCGATAGATGCGGAAAAAGCATTTGACAAAGTACAGCATCCCTTTATGTTCAAAACTCTAGAAAAACTAGGGATAACAGGAACATACCTCAATATTGTAAAAGCAATCTATGCTAAGCCTCAGGCTAGCATTATTCTGAATGGAGAAAAACTGAAGGCATTCCCTCTAAAATCTGGAACAAGACAGGGATGCCCTCTCTCTCCACTTCTCTTCAACATAGTTCTCGAAACACTGGCCAGAGCAATTAGACAGACGAAAGAAATTAAAGGCATAAAAATAGGAAAAGAAGAAATTAAATTATCACTATTTGCAGATGATATGATTCTATATCTAGCAGACCCAAAAGGCTCTACAAAGAAACTATTAGAGCTAATAAATGAATTCAGCAAAGTGGCAGGATTTAAAATCAACACGCATAAATCAAAGGCATTCCTGTATATCAGCGACAAATCCTCTGAAATGGAAATGAGGACAACCACTCCATTCAAAATATCTTCAAAAAAAATAAAATACTTGGGAATCAACCTAACAAAAGAGGTGAAAGACTTATACAATGAAAACTACAGAACCCTAAAGAGAGAAATAGAAGAAGATCTTAGAAGATGGAAAAATATACCCTGTTCATGGATAGGCAGAACTAACATCATCAAAATGGCGATATTACCAAAAGTTCTCTATAGGTTTAATGCAATGCCAATCAAAATCCCAATGGCATTTCTTGTAGAAATAGAGAAAGCAATCATGAAATTCATATGGAAAAATAAAAGACCCAGAATAGCAAAAACAATGCTAAGCAAGAAGTGTGAATCAGGCGGTATAGCGATACCAGACTTCAAACTATACTACAGAGCAATAGTAACAAAAACAGCATGGTACTGGTACCAAAACAGGCGTGTGGACCAATGGTACAGAATAGAGGACACAGAAACCAATCCACAAAACTACAACTATCTTATATTTGATAAAGGGGCTAAAAGCATGCAATGGAGGAAGGATAGCATCTTCAACAAATGGTGCTGGGAAAACTGGAAATCCATATGCAACAAAATGAAACTGAATCCCTTTCTCTCGCCATGCACAAAAGTGAATTCAAAATGGATCAAGGAACTTGATATCAAATCAGAGACGCGCCGTCTGATAGAAGAAAAAGTTGGCTACGATCTACAGTCGGTGGGGTCGGGCTCCAAATTCCTCAATAGGACACCCATAGCACAAAAGTTAATAACTAGAATCAACAAATGGGACTTACTCAAACTAAGAAGTTTTTTCTCAGCAAAAGAAACAATAAGAGAGGTAAATAGGGAGCCTACATCCTGGGAACAAATCTTTACTCCTCACACTTCAGATAGAGCCCTAATATCCAGAGTATACAAAGAACTCAAAAAATTAGACAATAAGAGAACAAACAACCCAATCAACAAATGGGCCAAGGACCTGAACAGACACTTCACAGAGGAGGACATACAGTCAATCAACAAGTACATGAAAAAATGCTCAACATCTCTAGCTGTCAGAGAAATGCAAATCAAAACCACCCTAAGATACCATCTCACTCCAGTAAGATTGGCAGCCATTATGAAGTCAAACAACAACAAGTGCTGGCGAGGATGTGGGGAAAAGGGTACACTTGTACATTGCTGGTGGGACTGCAGATTGGTGCAGACAATTTGGAAAGCAGTATGGAGATTTCTTGGAAAGCTGGGAATGGAGCCACCATTTGACCCAGCTATTCCCCTTCTTGGTCTATTCCCTAAAGACCTAAAAAGAGCATGCTACAGGGACACTGCTACATCGATGTTCATAGCAGCACAGTTCACAATAGCAAGACTGTGGAACCAATCTAGATGCCCTTCAATAGACGAATGGATAAAAAAAATGTGGCATTTATACACAATGGAGTATTACTCTGCATTAAAAAATGACAAAATCATAGAATTTACAGGGAAATGGATGGCATTAGAGCAGATTATGCTAAGTGAAGCTAGCCAATCCCTAAAAAACAAATGCCAAATGTCTTCTTTGATATAAGGAAAGTAACTAAGAACAGAGTAGGGACGAAGAACAGGAGAAGAAGATTAACATTTAACAGGGATGAGAGGTGGGAGGGAAAGGGAGAGAGAAGGTAAATTGCACGGTAATGGAAGGAGACCCTCAGGGTTATACAGTGGAGGGGGTAGAGAGAGAGGAGGGGAGGGGAGGGGAGAGGTGGGGAGGGGGGAGGGTGGATGATGGGAAAGGCAGCGGAGCACAACAGACACTAGTATGGCAATTTGTAAATCAATGGATGTGTAACTGATGTGAATCTGCAATCTGTGTATGGGGTGAAGGTGGGAGTTCATAACCCACTAGAATCAAAGTGTGGAATATGATATGTCAAGAAATTTGTAATGTTTTGAACAACCAACAATAAAAAATTAAAAAAAAAAAAAAAAAAAATAGAACTATTTCTAATGAGTGAGCCTTAATTTCTGAATATAATGTAAAAAATTATATACAGATTATGGTCTTATAAGAGCCGTTTCCCATACTACATTATCAATCCCCTGAATACTAACATCTTAGTGCAGATTTTTAAATCACCTGATGTATCTAATTAGAAGGCTGCAGATCAAAACCAACTGTAGCTGAAGAACTTATTACAAAATGCCCCCCACTCTTTTCCTTACAAGTCTCACATCCTAAAGTCAAGAGCTCAATTTATCCATCCCCCTGAGGCCACTAGATTATAACAGTAGCAACCATTTGAATCCTTTGCCAGGCATTGATGATAATTTCTCAGCCTTATCAGAATCCTGTGTGGTAGGCCTAATTGTTTTTTTAGTTTTATGAGTAATACACATACATTGCAATGATCAAAGTTTCAAATGGTGCAGAAGTACAGAATGGGGCAGAAGTACAGCCCTTGGGCTAACACTGCTTGCACAGACTCATGCAAAAACACAGGGTAAATAAAAGAGAAAGTCAGAATTTAAACCCAAATTGCCCTGCACCGAGAGATATAACACAAGCCATAAGCATCTTCTACACAACAACAAAACTGCCTGCAAAAAGCCTCAGGGTCATGTACTTATTGTAAAATAATTTCTAAACATGAAAGAGAAGAATTTCAAGGGATTCAAAGGAAGTAAATTTTCCTAATGTGTCATATCCCTTGTGTTTAAAAACAGACAACAAAATAATAATAAGCCTTATTTTGTTATAATTAAAGCTAATTTTGCCTAAACCTTTATCAGTCTTAACAATAACTGCAATAATGTGATAAACCATTTTTTAATCAAGTAACATAAGGACTCTCAATAGTCCACTGAAATAAATAACCAATATTATAACTCAGTTCTTATTAGCAAAATTATTCAGTCAATATTTTAGGCATTTAGGATGAATACAGTTTTATATGAAATGCCATGGTACATGGAAATAATCTTCTTAATAGTGCAGTTAAAAACTACACTGAGAGCTGGGGCTTTAGCTCAGTGGCAGAGCACTTGCCTAGCACATGGAGGCACTGGGTTTGATCCTTAGCACTACATAAAAATAAATAAATAAAATAAAGGCATTTTGTCCATCTATAACTACAAAATATTAAAAAAAAACTACACTGAGAATTACCCTAACACCATGAAAATTAGATACTGTAGTAGAACAAAATGAACTACTTTGCTCTTTCTCAAATTGATAATTTTGTCTTAGTTATAGAAGAATGATTTTAGAAAACATCTTTAAGACCTACTCATTCCACAGAGTATTTCACTGTGCACCTATTTCATGTGAAAGTTTGCAAAATCGTTACGTGACATTGTTAGTTGCCTTTGAAAATGGGACAGTGACTGGCTGAGTCTAAGGTGACTTTCCTGAGGTGTCTCAGAAAAGAAGAGCAACCTGGCTAGACACTGGAGAAAACAGAAGTAAAAATGGTAATTAAAAAATGTTTGTTTTTTTTTTAATTTACCCAAATCTGCTATGCAACACTGTCCATTCTTCTTCACCAGGATGTTTTTACTCTTTAAATCTCGATGGGCAATGGCTGGCTTCCCTTGGGTCCCAAATATCTCTATGTGCAAATGTGCAAGACCACTAGCTATGGACAGCACTATTCGAAGGCAGCTAACTGTATCCAGAGTAGTGAGCTGAAGATAGTCATACAATGACCCCATTTCATGGTAGTGCGTGATCAACCACAACTGGGTACTGGAGTGTCTTGATGTCATGTCTGAAGCAATAAAACCTGGAGAGAGTAAAAACAAAATTAAATTAGACATGTGAGCATTCCACACTGTAACTCTTCATAACCAGACACAGTGACTTACACAGTAGAAATCACCTGCAACAAAAACAAGTAAATAGCAATTGCCATGAGAGGTTAACAGACCCAGCAACAGAGAAAACAATAGCATTTATTCCTTAAAGGGGCACTAATTAATTGGAAATTTTCATATTAGTTTCCATTGTAAGTGATCCTTTAGAAAATATCTTTATGTTGTATTAAGATTCAGAAAGGTTACTTTGTGTTCATGCATAATAATAGTGCCAAATTCTTCATAATGTTGATATTCCAAGCACAGATCATTCATCAAGCATCCTGGAAAAAAAAAAAAAAAAACCCACAAAATCCAGAACCTGGATACCTATATGCTAGTCCTGCCTGCCTGTGATTTCTGCATAATAATGGGCAACTCCTGTGGGTTCTTTGACCTTTATCTGCTCAACTGTAAAATAAAGGAATGAATTTGCTATATGATTGACTTTATTCATCAAATAAAGAAGGAACCGATAAGAAATATTGAAAAATTTGAGGCTCTTTTTTCAGTCACACAGAAACATGATGTTGACAATATTTGTTGGCTAGAAAAGACACATAAAAAGGAAAAAAAACCTACAATATTTGAAATGTATTATAATATATACTCTACAAAGGGCAACACAAGCCCAGAGTAGGTATTGAGATGTTACAAAAGGCTTCCATCAGAAAGTGATATCTGAACTGCTCTCAAAGGGAAGTGAGACTCTGACAATTGTGAACAGACACTGAAATTTTGAGGAAACTTTGGAGCCTACTAAAAGAACTTTTAATCTTCAATAACTTTCCCCCAAAGAAATACCCCAAACCAAAAAACAAAAACAGAAAGAAAAAAAAAACCATCAGCACTTTAAAGAATTGCTATTGCATATCTGTGTGGCCTCTGCTGATTTCTTTCCCCAAGGAAAAGTAGCCTCTGATTAAATAAATGAAAATCAAACTTTTGATTCCCTTACTTTCCCTCACCACCCTTGGTCTAAAAAGAAGGATTCTGTCACCTCATTAATTATGTTCTGAACCTTCAGGAAAAATGACTTTTTAAATAAGGAGACTTTTTAAAAACTATTTCTCTCTCAAGTGTGGATTATATAACTCCATTTGTTTCACAATGCTGGGGCACTTTGGTGGGCTATTTGTGTTTTGAGTCAAAGCACTCTATTGTTAGTGGAGGTTGAGCAGGGGCTAGAGGTTGGAACTCTGGCATAGGCACTGGATGTGTTCCGAACCAGGGGACAAAGTAATTAGGGCCTCTTACTTCACACTCAATGTCATCCTCCCAGCCTTTTCAAGAGCTAAAAATAAAACTCAGTCTTAAGTAAGGTGACCAGTGCCCCTTGTGAGCCTCTCACTGGCACCACTCATGGGAACCAGGTACTGGGCAGCTGTGACAGCCAAGATGTAAGGCCACCACCCAGAGCAGAGCCAGAGAGGGCTGTGCCCAAAGCTGCAGGACTGGCTCACAGGTCAGCCCCACCATCCCAAACTGGGTGACCTTGCCCAAGTCACATAGAGTCTCCTCCAGCTTCCTCATTCGTAAGATGAGGGTAATGGCAACATATGTCCAGGGGTAACTGTTAGAATAAAAGCAACACTGTATGTAAAATGCTTGACCTGATGTCTCACACACAGGAAGCATTTAAGAATGGCTGGCCAGTAATACATTTTAAAACAGCCCAGAGTTCAGTCAAAGCCATAATAGCAGCTTTTGTAATTTAATATTTTTTTTGAACAAGTAGTTTCCTTTCCTTGCATCAGTTTTAAGAAACTGGGACTGGTGGAACAGTCAGGCAGTGCCTTTTCTGAGCACAAGACAGCTCTGGAGTGGGAAGGTGGAGATGGCTGCACAAGATAGATGAACTCAGTGCCACTGCATACTTCGAATGGTAAAGTGGCAAGTTTTATGCTATGTATATTTTATAACATGTTTTTTAAAAGGTCTAAACACAAGACTTTGGAGTGAATTCTCATATTAAGCAACTTCTATAGTTTTAGTATTGAGGAAAAGAATGCTCAGAAAGATACAACTTTGATCCCAAATAAAACAGTGGGCCTCTAACAGTGTCCAGAGTAGAAGCCAGTCTCCCAAACTCCCAGACGACTATTGCTGCTATCATGTGACACAGTGTTCCTGTGGTCACTTACATGTTAAGTGCCACACTAGACATAACAGAAGAAAGAGTTGAAATTCAAACCAGTCCATTTGAAAAATGTTATTTTATAGGTTTGGCTAAGGGAATAAAAACTGAGGGCCCAGAGTTTTACATGTACAGACAGATACATAGATACATAGAAATATACATAGATAGAATTTAGTTATATATTTTGGGGGACTTATGGGTGGGAGGGATCATGATCTTATATTCAAACACAGCATGTAAGCCAGGTGTGGTACCATGCACCTGTATTCCCAGCTAGTCAGGAAGCTGGGGCAGGGGCAGGAGGATCACTTGAATCCAGGAGTTCTAGGCCTGCCTGAAACACAGCCAGATCCTGTCTCCAACAAAAAAAAAAAAAAAAAAAAAAAAGTCTGTACAAAGGCTATCTGTTTTTATGATCTTTCTTAATTAGAAAGACTACACAATCCATATGGCTGTGATTATAATAAAGGTAGAAAGATCTTATGAATTCAGAATTTCCACAGATCATTAGGTAATAAGAATTAGATAATGTTTTCCCCTATGTGATAACACTAAGGGAATCTAACTTCTTATATTTGAATCATACTGTAAAGGTACCTTTCAAATTTTCCTTGTGATTAAATCCAATTTAATAAATATATTCTGCTATGTGCAAGGTACTGTGTTTAGCTCTAGGTGTGAAGGCAAAAGCCATGCAAACGATACTTGTCCACAGAGTACAATGGTGTGTATCATAGGCAATTTAACTAGAGTGCATGGTTATGAGACCATTTGCAGATTACAACAATATATGGCATATTTTGCACAATGAGTCTGTGAGCTCTGTCAGTGGGGATATGTGAATGTGCCCTTCCTTCAACAAGTCTCAGACCTCACGAGCTTCTTAAGGGTATGTGTACCTGATTGTGAAGAATAATTCTACTATTTGAGAGAAATATTTTTGTATGAGATGGCTTTTAACACAACTAACTCAATTTGTTCTAGTGGCACAGAGAGAAACAGGACATTCAAAGGTTATTTTGACTGTAGACAAATTTTCATCTCATACCCTGACTCTAGACTCTAGAAAGCAACTCCACTGCTATCTGACTGTCTAGCAGACCAGTGCAGGATACAAAACTGCAAGACAGAGTTAGGTTGCCCAGTGTGATTCCCAGCTCCCCTATTCAACCTCCCTGTACATCAGCTGCTTCGTAAATTAAAACCGGAAAAATAAGAAAAAACTACCCTCTTATGGTTGTAGAGAAGGTTACGTGAGAATATGCACATGAAGCACTTAGATCAATGGTTACTGCATAGTAACTACCCCTCACTATTTTTGATAGTGTTCTTATTGTCGTCATTACTGTGGTTACACACAGACATCTAACGGTAACACATGGCAGTGTGTAAAAATAGAGCAGAGTACAACATGAAGCTGTGCACAAAGCACAAGCAATTCTCCTGGGAGAAACTGGAAGGGAACTGAGAAGTTTTAATGGAGGAAGAGGTGACTGTAGGATGGGAAGGGGACAGTGGGTGATCAAAACACATGCACAGGGACAAAGAGACCTCAGTGTTCATGGCAATCCCAAGGAATGGCATCTATTGGTGGCAGCAGAATGTGGACATATTGGTAGTTAATGCTTAAGAGACCACAAGGAGGCCCAAAATAGGGAGTCTTGAAGGCTGGGCCAGAAGTCATAAATGTTGTAGGCAGTTTGGGAACCGTCAAAGACACTTTGAGCAGAATTATCTCTGCTCCTCGGGGGAAGACAATTCAGTGTGGTGTGAGGGGCTGGAAATTGGTAGCTGACAGCAACAATAGCACTGGGGAGGATTAGGTGATGATGAGGGCCCCAGAGGGAAGGGAAGGGGAGAAATCGATAGCAGAAACTGAGATGTTTCTGAGAAGAAACATCACGGCTGCACCGAAGCTTTGAACAACCATCAAACCACTGTCTGTGACACTTAATTCGGATTTAAATACTAATTAATAGTAGTAGAACAGAAATACATTCTGGCCATGGTCTTCCTATGCGTCAGAGCTAATCCAATAGCCACGAAGCAGCTGACACTATGCTATCAGGTTAAAGAAGCAGGTAGCATTCGCCCTCCATGTTAGTGTAAACACATTAAGAGAAATCTTGCAAAGTTACTGAAGTCAATGGCCCAAGGAATAGGTTCACCCTTATACTGCCATTGCAGGATTTCAGTGGGCACTTTACATATTTCACAAATGTTGCTAAGCTTTAGTTTCCAAATTAAAATGTATGCTGAATCCCTCTGGAAATCTGGTCTTTAAAAATGATGCCTAGTTTGAGGGAATGTGCATTTAATTATGGTGTCCCTGGGAGCTGTGAATCTCTAGGAAAGAATCCAAAGATCTTTCTTAGTTTGATTCAACTAATAAATATTCAAAAAGGGTGGGGTAAGTAGAACAACCCATGAAGCCTTGAAGTGAACAATACAGGGCAAATTTTTGTTGTTTAAATAACGATCTGCAGATGTAGGAATAAGAATGAGCAATAACGGATTTCCTTTTCATCATCCAGAGAATCTTACAACCTAACTTATTTGCAGATTTATACAAGAAATTGGCGTTAAAAGAAAACTAAACAGTATATAAATGCTGAGGCTCCCTATTCTACTTTTCAAGACAGACTCTCAAATTCACATTCAGCAAAAGAGAGAGGGCAAATGTCGCCAGTTCCCTCTCCTAAGACACAATTAACTGAGGGGCATCCTTGTACTTACCTAAAATATTTTCATGCCTCAGCATCACAGTGTTGTACAATTCTGTTTCCCTGAACCACGACTTCTCATCACGGGAGGAAAAGATCTTCACGGCAACATTTTCCCCTTGCCAACTGCCCCTCCACACCTCACCATACCTGCCTTTCCCTGCGGAAAAGAAAAGAGGAGTCGCTGGAGGGTGACCCAGGAGAGGCAGCCAGCCTGACTCCTAAGAACACACCTGTGAACCTAGTGTCTGCAATTCAATCCTTCCCATTACTTGCCATGGAAACTCAATTTGGGAATATCAATACCACAACCTTTTGCCTGTGAAGATATATAAAAGGTGGATGGAATCTGCCCTACCCAAAGTGATAATAAGCTGTCATCTGTATCTGCATTGTACACTTTGCTATTAATTACAACGTTTAAATTTAAATTCCTCTACTGAAAGGCATAAAATGCATATGACTTTCAAAAACATATGCAAGTTCTTAAAATCTAGATCATGGTATGGATTATTAGATTTCAATGTTGTGCTAAAAGCCAAAAAAAGATGTGTGTAGCTGAATTTAATAGCTTCCATGATGGCTCCTTCTTACGGAATCACCGTAGGCATTTACTAAGCATACAAATCTGAATTTATGTATGCATTTTTTCACAAAAAAGAATATTAAATTTAAGATGTGTGTTCTGCGGATTAGAAACAAAGATAACAAAACACAAGGTACATAGGAGATCGTCAACCTCACAACCACCATCCCTACAGGCTTTCTTGGTGGAGGATATGTTTCTAAAGAGGATTTGCAATCTTAAACACATAATCCCACAACCGTTTTGATTTCTGACATTGGTCATGGGTATTTGTTTATTAGACAACCCCTGCATGAAAAGACCACTTGGAGAATACATTTTTAAAAACACAGTGACATTAGTTGGGGTCTGACCTGTCTAGTCTATAGTCCCCTCCTGCCAAAGCTATATATATGTGTCAGTTGTCAAGGACATGTTCACATTCTCTTTAATTACAGGTAGGGGTGATCAGGGAGGTTGGGAGGAGGTAATTACCTCAGTACTATGGGCATCAACACAAGGTATAATTAGCCTGGGCAACAAAGAGGCAGGAGATACAACTTACAGGGGAGTGGGGATTTCTGCCCAGGCAAGTGGTGGCTGGGATCACAGGGTTGTAATAAGCAGCTACAGAACCACCTGCAGTGCAGGAATATAGTCCCTGGCTAGAAAATTAAACCATTGAGGAAGAACTCAAATATGGAGACAGCCCAGGTCTGTCTAAGCAACACCCCTGAAATATCTTCAAAACCACTAAATCTAGACTCCCGAGGAACCAATGTTCCCATGAAACCCCAATGATTAATCCAAAATAAAGTTAAAAGAGGCCAATAGGTGCTCACTGTGGGCCACTGTTGGGTCTAATTAATAGAATTCTGTATTAAACAGACACTGTTTAATACAGAATTCTATTCATCAAATCACAGCAATTGCTCAGCACTTGTAACTTAAGACCAGGGCTGGAGCAAAGATGCTACAAAATCAGAAGCCAGAAAAATGATATGCTAATCTTTTCCTGTCTACAGTTCCATTTTGTATTTTTATTTGCCCTTTACCTGCATTCTTTCATTAGGAAGGAAAGAAAAACAGCCCAAAGAATTGTGGACATAAAGTCACTTCAAATCCTTCATTTTTTTCTCCTCCACAAGAAAAAAGGGTAGATAAAATTAAAATAGAAATCAATTTCAATGAATTTCAAATGCTTTTGTCAAATGTTTTTTGAAAAAGCAATCACACGCAGAAGGCCCCTATAAAAGTGGAGTTTCCCAAAAGCCCTGGCCATGTGCCCCCAAAGGAGATTCTCAAGGTACCTAAAATTTGGGCATTTATTGACCTGATCCAACTTCATGTGGTTTTTGAAACACAAATGATAACATGCTACCCATGCAGTTTATCACATATATTTTTATCCAAAGCTGTACCACATGAATGCACATCACTGCTTTCATTAAATCTTTAGCACCAACCCAACAAAATGTAAAAATTAAATTCACACTATCGCAAAAAAAATGCTGAAGAACAAGTATAGAACAAGAAATCATTTATATTTTTAAAGGTACAATATTATTTGGCCGTTGAGACTCTGGATCTAATCTCTGCCAACTCTGAGGGGTAAGCAGCCCCAGGATAGGAATAGAGGGTAGGTGATACAGGTGCACATCCCCCTTCACTGCCTTCACACCACTACGCAGACACACAGGTTCATAATCAAACAGGATGCTGGTAAGTATAAGAGGACAACTCTGGTTGCTTGTAACGAGCACATCTGGGGTTTTTCTGGCTTTACCTGCTCTATTCTCAGTCTGCTGTGCAGGAGACAGGTACAATGGGAGACAGTTATGATAGCTGCAGAACTAAAGAAAAGTGAACAAAGCTGCTGCCCATCACCCATGTGCCTCAGTCAGCAGTCACTGCTCTTCCTACTTCTGTGGATCCTCTTTTCTAATCCTGAGCTTGGGGTATCCCTCTTCCCATGAAAACAAGAAGAAAGAAAACCCACAGGATAACTGCCAAGGCAGTGGATGACAATCAGCCACTTCCCCAAAGGCTGAGAGGACAGGCACCCCAAACTGTCTAAAGAAACCCTGAGCACTGGGAGGAAAGTAGAGGTGGTACTAAGCCATTATCACTACCGTAGCCATCCCTGAATGGCATCTGAAGGGGTAATCAATGAAAAACATCATGCACTCTGCAAATACACACACCCCATGTTAAAACTAACAAAAATTAGGACTTTAAAAAAGCATTTGCTAGGCATGGTGGAGCACACCAATTCCAGCTACTTGGGAGCCTAAGACAGGAGGATTCCAAGTTCAAGGCCAGCCTCAGCAACTTAGTGAATCCTGTCTCTAAATTAAAAAAAAAAAAAGGTGGGGGGCTGGGGATATTGTTCAAAGCTAGAGCACCTCTAGGTTCAGTTCCAGGATTGAAAAAAAAGTTTTAAAAAACGTTTTACACTATTTTTCTGTAGAACAATATAAAACAATAAGTTAATCACAAGTTTTGACCAAAAAAAAAAAAAAAAAAAAAAAGCCCAATTCCTGGGAATTGATTCTGAGAACTCAAAACAAAGAAGCAATATGTGCAAAATCGTTTTTCAAGTGGTACTGTAAACTCAACCAGTGGATTCTTAGAAACGCTTTGAGACTAATTCTGATGTATGCAAATACACAAAATCTATGTGAGCTTAAAACTAAAAAGAGGGCATAAAGTAAATCATGCTCCATGATTATATCAACATAAAAATATGTTCCCATACGGGGAAAATGAAAGGCCATAAAAATGCACATAGCTATTGTAAATAAAGGAATTACAAAAGTACCTTTGGTAAAATTTCGGTTTTTTAAAAACCTTTAAAAGCACTTTTTTTAAATTTTCCATTGACATAATTATACCCATTTATCATTATTTTTCAAGAAAAGGGGAGACTGAGAGGGATTAGAGACTTGCAATAAACAACTTCACTATCCAAATACTGACTTACCTTGGATCATTCCATACCTGCAGTAGGGGACAGTCATCATCAATTCACTTTTCAAGCATTGCCACCATCCCAAAGGGTTCACATGTAATGAAAACTTTGACTGGGTGTTCTCTACACTAGCTACAACCATCCCACGCCTCCTGAAGTTCAGTGAGCTACATGTGTGACATCGCCTAAGTTTAATAAGGAAGCAATAAGCACCAGAAGCAGACTTTGCAAGTTCTATCCTTCTTGTACCACCACAGCTAACATGACCTATTATTCACCCAAAAAAAAGGGTGGGGGGGAGAATTACCGACACACTCCAACAGTGTTATCTGGCGAGCCACTGTTCTTTGTACCAGAAAAGGAAGACCAGAGCCACTTCCTGATGTACACGAATGATCCAATAAATCCTGTGGTTTAAGACAGAGAAAAAGAAATGACTGAGTGATGGCTCCTGGTTTCAAGTGTTACAAACATGTTGCTGTAACTCATGTGGAAAGTGGCAATCCTGGGCACATGGCCATGGGCCTGCCTGCAAAGCTCCACCAGAGGCAGGATTGGTTTCATTTCTTATGAAAAACCAGAAGTCAGCCCTCTTCCTGATGCCTGGTAGATTTTCCTGAAGGATAAGCACCTTTCTGACGCCCAGAGTTTTAGAGTAAAATACATAAATAAGCTGGGCAAATCTAAAGATGCAAATCAAAAGGTTTAAGAAGCAGGACTAAACAGAGAAAGACTAGCAGATGGGAAAAGAAGGGTACAGGATCCCTTCAACTACAAGAGTTGGGTATAACTTACCATATTCTGCTCTGCTCACGAACTATCTATCAAATGATCCACTTTAGCTACCATACTAACAAGAAAATCTAATTAGGAACAGACAAATTGGGAGTCTGAACAAACAACTCTCATACCGGCCATGGAAATATCCATTCATTAACCATATGATTAAACTTGGTTCACTCAAGCAGGAATGGGTTCCCTGGATAAGGTTACCTTTTAGTTGGGTGAGGAATAAAAGGATTACTAAATTAATACCTATTTCTCATTTTTTAAAAAATGTGAATCACAAATTGGAGTGGGGTGGCGAGACAATAAAAACACAAAGCCAGGGTCCCAAATTGACTCCTGCAAATGAATATGTTGGCAAAAGGATTCCTAGATAGTTCATTCATAGTTTCCCTTCTTATTGTCAGCATAAACCAACAAGCACAAGTCTTTTGGTAACAGACGTAGATTATCTGTAATAAATAATATAGTGCCCACAGTGACGGTGGTAAGGTTGCAGTAATGTTGAGCTAACACTCTCCAAGACTCTTTCTTTTTCAAACATTTCAGCTGCCCTATTAAAGCAATGAATCGATTTCTGTGAATTTCACCTTCTTTACTTCTCTGAGAACCACTGCAAAGTACTGTGGATCGGCAAAATTACCAAAAGCTGAATATCCAACAGAAGAAATTCAGAACCCTTAAAAACCACAAAAAAGATAATCAACAAAAAAATAAGTGTAGATGAGGTAGAGTTCATGTGCTGGGTTTTTTTCCCCTCTATTCAACTATTTTTTTTAAGAACAATAATTCTGAAAATTAAACTGCTAAAATTAAATGTGTTGCTTTTTCATAATGCACAATATTAGTTCTAAATACAGGCTATAGATGAAAAAAAATCAACTAAAGACTAATAAATACGTCCTTTAATCTGGGATCCCAAGACTTCTTTTCTCAACATAGGTAAGTGGTAAAGTGAGGGTATGCTTTGTGGAATCACATCAAGGAGGAGACTGTTTAAATAAGCAAGTATATAGACCAATAAGGACAATTTGTTTTAAAAATTGTGTAGGTTTCTATGTTATTATATCGTGATATGCTGTCAACTGACATGGCTGAGTTCAGAAGACTGTTTTGGCATGTACTCTCATTCCTTCAAAATCCTAAAAGCTATTTAAATGGTAATTTATACTACTAGATATTTCAATTATTACCCTTGATAATTAGTTATGTTAGCAGCTCTGAGGAATAAAGTTCTGACTAATCTATTTTAGAATCTTGCTTTGATGAAGCTCTGTCAGGATTCATCCTTACATCTTCTTGCTGCTAACTCAATAAACTCATTTAATTTTCCTTAAAGCTTAGAATGGAGTTCTGAGTAAATTTCTAATGAAAATTTGTATTTCTCTACTTTTCAAAACAAAATGTCATTATTTCCTCTTCTCCTAGTTCTATACAATTTAAATAGATTGGTAAAGGAAAGCTACAAATGGCTATTTTGCCCCTTTTTCATACAAAAAGTACACTTGACTGGCAGCCCAGGGATGGGGCAGGTAGCAAGGCAAGATGCTTCCTGCCTATTCAGCCACCATCCATGTTCTGGTGACTCAGTAAGGTGGATCCTGCAGTTGTCCAGGTGCACCACCTGGTGCTACAAAAACTGCTGTTGTTGAAGATACATGTCTCCAGAAAAAACGAAGCTGCAGGGCAAGCCTAACTGCAGAACTATCAGGCCCTTTGAAGCTTGTCTCTAGCAAAGGAAGACTTAATGCTAGATGAGACTGGATAATATACAGGCATGGCATTAAATAACACTGAATCACATTAGAAAGATATTGCCTTGATTGTCTTTCAGTTCAATGGATTATGACAAAGAATCTATTGGTACTGCATGTCTTTCACACTTCTTTCATACCATAAATTTTTGCCCTTTTCAAAGTAGGTATCAGATATAGCACAGTATCCATGTAAATAGTATTAATTATTTTTCTTTTATGCTTTATGGTAAACTTCTATTTATAGCAAATGATCTTCTTTTTCTAAAGTTTAAAGTCTCTTTAAAATTAAAATTTGACGCTGGGCACAGTGGCACATGCCTATAATCCGAGCAGCTCAGGAGGCTGAAGCAGGAGAAGTAGAAGTTCAAGGCCAACCTCAACAATTTAGCAAGGCCCTAAGCCACTCAGCAAGTCCCTGTCTTAAAATAAATAATAAAAATGACTGAGGATGTGGCTCTGTGGTTAAATGCTGTTGGGTTCAATCTGTAGTACAAAAAATTAACAAATTGAAATTTTAAAAATAACTAAGGAATGCAGCCACTACTAATATTGTCATTAAAAATATACAAAAGTGATTATTAAATGTATGAACACAATGGTTTTCATACTGAGTAAATGTATATGTAAAATACACATATGATTTTGAAAACTTAGTTCAGAAACTAAAATATCTCAATCATTTTTATTGATTATAGGTTGAAAAGATAAAAATTACATGTGTTCGGTTAAACAGACTATCAATTTCACCTGTTTTACTCTTTTGTTTTATTTTACCTTTTTAAGGTAACTACTTTAAAATTTAAAATTCTGTATGTGGTGCACAGGTTTCTACTGGCCCACAGTTGTTTAACCAAATGACTGCACTCCACAAGGGGGCAGCACAAGAGCACGAAAAATTTAATAGCTGCTTTTTTGGATGTCAAGTTTTAAAGTCTTAAATTATAGGGTGTTGAAATAATCTCAAGGGAAATTGATTTTTAATATTAAGCAAAAGTGCTTCCTTTAAAAAGCACTTTTACCGCTAAAAATAGAGTAACAGAATACCAACTCTAAGCCCTCCAAAATTACAGGCAACCAACCATTCTCTGTCCCTTTTTCTTTACCCCTTACCCCCACAAAAAACAATCTACTAAAAAAAATCCTCTTCTCTACTTCTACTTTATCTACATAAAATGGATGTTCTCATGCAAGGGAGACTAAACAAATGCTACCATATGCTTGCTTAGGAAATAAGTGACCAATGGCATGTGTGTCCATTCACTGTTTGCTTTTCATGCCAGAAATATGGAAGTGTCTTCAGCCATCTTTATTGTGCTTTAGATTCCCCATGGGGTCATAAACTCACTGCTAAAGTGCTGTCTCCAACATTGGTGGTGATGAGCCCTTCAATGGTGCCGTACTCCACATCTCTGGGATTGAGGCGTTCTTGGTTGCGCCTTTTAAATTTTCGGAGAGCCACTCCTAGCAGGCATGCTAGAAGGCATACTGCAAACACTACAGAGAGAATAATGAGGCCAACCTCCAAGTGGAAATGCTGTGTTCCAGGGAAGGACTTTCCTGAAGATGGGGGAGAAAAGGGTAATTGGCTGTCAGAATCACTGTTTCCTTGTTACTTAGCATAACCATAACCAAGTAGCTCCAGATCCTGACCACATAGTCTCACAAGACACAAAGTGCTAAAACTAAGATACTTCTCTCAATACCTGGCCAATAGCCCAGCCATTTAAACCATCATTCAATTAGACGTAACTGGAGTTTGAAAAAATTCCACTGAGAATCAACTATATTAATTAATGTGCTTGAAAGTGTTTTTAAAATGTAAAGTACTACACAAATCTTGATATTACTCTTATTTACTTGGATTTGGTATATAAAGATGCCCATACAGACAGACACTATACCATAATATCCCTGTGAGAAAGTGCTATCTTGGTTAAAACCAAATTACCCCATCTGTGCTCTTTCTTCAATATATCTTGAGAATGTCTACTGCTGAATTCTCATTGATCTTTTTACAGCACGATTCCTGTCTCAGAAGCTATTTATTCATCTGTGCATTTAGTCACCTACTCAAACATTCATTCACTGATTCACTCCCTCGTCCAGACATTTTTATAGTACCCATTCAAGCACTGGTGCATTCACTCAAACATTTTACCTATCACACATGCAGATATTCACAATGGATCTCCACTTGCCTAGTGAGTTAAATCATTTTTTTTGTTTTTTTGGTTGGACAGTGAAGGTCCATACTTTAAGGATCCCCAAACAACACTCACTTCTGAATCAGACCCCTTATGACATTATGTCATAAGTCCAGCCCTTCTGCACATCTGCTTTACCTGTGTCCATGTCCTCGGCCCCTTCAGCAATGCACTCTCAAGCTGAACTTCCTTTGTATATTTCTCTAACTTTCTAAGCCCAAACAATGACTTAGTGTACACAATCTTCCATGGTACATGTCATTTGCATGATCAAGTTTAAAAGTAATTAAATACAACACTGAATCATAAATATTGTAGCCTCTCAGATTAGAAAATCCTTAAATAAAGAAAGTAAATCTTCTGTTAAACTAGAATCTAGCAGAGTGTTCTACAGACAAGGAATTTCATACATGATAACTGTTTTGTGAATGCAGACCTTTCTTCATGTCTTTCCACTCGATTAATGAAAATTTAACTCACAGTGCAAGAGAAGTATCCCTTTAGTTTTAATATTTTAAATATCTGATCTCTCATTTTAAAACCGTTTATTATTCAACCCTATTTGTTTACCATAATTGAACCTTTTGTGTCTGCCTTAAGGTCACCACTGTAACATCAAATCTCTGTAATGTGATCCCTTATCAGATTTTTTGTTTTTCTGACTCTCCTGTTGGTTATTTCTAGCAGTGAATACTCCTAGTAGTATCTCTTACTCTACCTTTTGTGTTTTTTCTTCTTTTATTAAGTAAAAGAAGTTTATTAAGCAAAATTAAGTAATTATACCTATTAAAAATGTACTATGCATTAAGAGAATAAATTTGGCTTGAAGTGAGTCTATGGTAATATTTGTAGGGGATTGACAGTCCGGGGCTCATTTAATGGGAAAACAGTTTCAGAGCCCTGGTTTCCAGAAGATAGGAAATCTGTAATGAATACACAAGATTCCATATAAACTACAGGGTTCATGAGAAATCTCATCTGGCTTCTAGATTCAGCCATAGCTGGAGAATCGGATCTGGGAGGAGGTTAGGGAGTCTGTTTGCCAACTTCCTCATAAAGAGGAAAGAGCATTCCACTCAAGCACAGTTTCTTCTTCCCTACACATGTGGCCTAGAGATGAGTGTTTACTAAGTGGAATTATTTCAGAAATTATAAAAGACATCACAGCCCCTTAACAGAAAGTGGCATAGAGAGCTGTACACCCATTGGAGGTGACCTAAAAAGAGAACTGATCGGTCAATCTCTTCCCAGAGTGGATGTCACTTTACTCACTTTTTCAAATATGTCCATCCTCCTTTGAGATTCCAAAGGGCCATGCCTCTTTCCTCCTCACCTAAAGCAACCTTCTACATGGCTCATCACCTTGGTTCAAAGAGTAGGAGGAGAGCCTCATGGCTGCAAAGATCTTTAACCCAAACAGATCAGGACACTACTAACAAAACCCTAATCTAGAAATAGAAAAGTGCATGGGGACCTTTAGTGGGCAGCTGGGCCGTGATGTTCCTGTTACACCAGTCCCCTTGGCAGCACTCCACGGCTTGGCCAGGTGATGGCGGGGTCTTACAGGTCATCTTTCCTTGCTCATAAACCTGGAAGCAGCCTTTCTGGTAGACGTGGAAGCCATCGTTGATGCTCAGTGATGAAAAGCACTGCTGGCCTTCACAGTGGTCCTCATTCCCACAGGAAAGGCCTTCACACACACACATGTAAAGTTTGGGGTTGACCTTGGGCTTCTCATCTGCAAAGGAGAGAAAAGCATGGGGAAAAAAAGAGATCACTGTCTGGGTTTCACTCCCACAGAGGGAACAACAGTAGTTTCTCCAGGACCATTCCAAACACATTCACAGAGCAGAAAGTCATCACCATTATGTCCACATTTCATAGCCTCATCACTTGATCAGCTACCAAACAGTCACCTCTCACCCTATGAATGCATTTATATAAGCTGAAACGGGTCCATGGAGTTCTGACAAGGAGGTTCTCTCCCTGTGGCTTCCATGTTACCTTCAGCTTATACCCCAGTTTTTGCATCCAAATAAAATGTTTTGCTGGAACACAATTTTCAACACCTTAACTTTATTCCCAAAACAGTTCCTAAATATATGACAGCTATTAACACCAGTTCCTGCTGCAAAAACCTTCATCGATGAGTAGAATAAGCAATACTGACTTTCCTGTTTCAGAACCTGATTGCTTCAGAATTATTCTTGCATAATGCAATCTATAGCTATAAATCCAGGTTATCAATAATTCCAGTTAGATACCTAGACTAACTTTTCTATAGTAATAACACTCACATTTTTACATTGATCAAAATGAGAATTCAGAGCCACTGCATAATTTTCAACTGTCAAAAAAAAAATGGGGGCACCAAGCATCCAGGATGAGGGCACAAGGAGACAAAGGGAATGGGACAATGTTTGAACACTAAGGTTAACAAGTAGGACCAAAGGAATATCCCGCACCTGGTGAGTCCAGGTTACAATGGAAGGAAAGACAGAAATGCATTGTAACAGAAGTACACTTAATCAGACCTCCTAATTGTCTCTTTTTCAAAACACCCATTTGCAGTTCCATTTTTCATATCACTCTTTTCCCCTCCCTTGTTGGAATGATTAGTTTGAACTTGCTTGTTCCAACGTTTCCACTAGTGGGCAAAGAAAGAAAGGATATAATATAAACAGCCAAGTACTAGAGACCACTGATTGGTTAGCCAAGGCTACTTTCACCAAAGTACCATTAATATAAGGAAATTCAGCTTGCAGAGTACCTTCCAAAGATCTCTGGCACAGACAGGCTGCCCTCTAATCCCTGAACCCTCAGTTGTAGGTCTGTAAGATAACTGCTTTCTTTCTTAAAATAACAGGTCGGGTGGCTGTGCTTTCAAGAGAAGACCTTAAGGTGAGGTCTTTGAAATGTCAAGTTCATTTACACAGATTTGTGTGGGTGTGTGTAGAGATGTGGGTTATCTCAAAAAGAGAAAAGTGTTCTTAATCTTTCTTCTTCCCTCTTCAAAGAAGTGGAAAAATAGTTCACTGCCCACTGTCATGTGGGTGCCTCGTCCCACAGAGTAAGTGCATGCAGACACACAGACACAGCCTTCTATTTATAATTGACTTGCTAGTTCTTTTGAAAACCACAAGGGGCTCATCCAAAAAGCAAAGACATGCCTGAAAGCAGAAAATCCAAAATAGCCGCTGACACTGCTATGTATGTCACCAGTCTCACCCCTGAGAATCAAGAGCCCTCAGACATTTTTAATGAGCAAAAAATTTAATGAGCAAAGAGATAGTTTTTATTTTCTCTGAGCAGAGAAATCCAAAAGAAACTCCAGCACCAATCTATTTCTATGAGGATAAGAAACATATATATCTGCTGACATAATCCGGCAAAAAGTTTACACTTGCCAAAACAGAGTTGAAAGATAATATTTCCAGGGAGTCTAGACATGCTCACCACTCTTGAATGGCATGAAGCTGGACTGAGGGGCTGCCAACTATGCTGCCCAACAGGTGATGGTTGTTTGGAAGGAAAAGGATGGGTGGGGTGAGTTAATGGTATCATATTGATTTATTTGTGATCTACAACAGGGAAATGAATGACTATATTCTTAAGACTCAAATAATACAGTTGATACAATTTGAAACATTTAAAAACTAAGTGTTTTTAAAAGATCAGCCGGATGTGGCGATACACGCTTGTAATCCTCAGCTGAGGAGGCTGAGGCAGGAGGATCACAAGTTCAAAGCCAGCCTCAGCAACTTAACGAAGCCCTGAGTAATTCAGAGAGACCCCATCTCTAAATAAAATGTAGAAAGGGGTTGGGGATGTGGCTCAGTGGTTAAGCACCACTGAGTTCAATCTCCAATATCAAAAAAATTTTAAAAATTTTAAAAATCACAGATGTCCACAATACCTAAGGAACACACAGTAAAAAGTGTGCCTGCTGACTCTGGATTGGGGATGAGGAGTTAATGTTGAGATTAAGAGGTAAAATAAAAATAAAGTAAGGGTGTAGTTATTCGTGGACTAATAATAGATAGAGTACAACATACTCAACCCACTGCAATAAGGCTCATGAGGAAGAAGAGCAACAGCAAACAAGTAGTTCTAGGTTACAGAGGGCTTTCTCGCCCTTGATCCTATAGAAATGGATGGTCTAGGGGCTGGGATGTCATTCAGCATTATACTGAATACTTAGCATGTGCAAGGCCCTGAGTTCAACCCCCAATATCACAATCAATTAATAAATAAATCAATAAATAATAGAAATGAATAGTCCAGGGCTGGGGATATAACCCAGTTGCATGCACAAAGCCCTAGGTTCAATCCCCAGCACCACAAGGAAAAAAAGAAAAAGAAATGGATAGTCCAGGCTACCAAAGACTTAATGAGACTTTATGGCTCTAATAAAAAAAATATCAATTAAAAAAATAACAACAATAATAGTTTCTCTAACATGTTCTCCAGCTGAACAAGTTTTTTTTAAAGTAAAGTATTTTTTAATTTATTTTATTTGATTCTTACTTTCTAGAATTATTTAGACAATTTGAATTGGGCAATTAAATCTGCTGAGCCTCTCATTAGATCCTTACCAAAAATTAAAATCAAGTGACCTATAACTCACCTGCTCTCACACAGAGATAGGGCTCTAACCTGCCATTGGAAATACTTTTAACCTTTAGATAAACTGATCTGGGTGCCAAATGCACACCTGTAGGCACTAGCTTCTGCACTGGGGTCCATTTTGGGGGTTTGGAAATTTTTTATTATTTTTGTTAAATTTTTATTTGTTTTAATTACTTATACATGGCAGGAGAATGCATTCATGCACTTTTATAAAAACATAGATGGGATATAATTTCTCATTTTTCTGGGTGTACATGTTGCAGAATCATACTGGTCATACAGTCATATATATATGTGTGTGTGTGTGTGTGTGTGTATATATATATATATATATGTATGTATGTGTGTGTATATATATATATATATATATATATATATATATATATACATACACACACACATACATAAAGTAATAATGTCTGCTTCATTCTACTATCTTTCCTATCCCCACAGCCCTTCCCCTTCCCTCCCATCACTTCCCTCTACCTAATCTATGGTGACGTTATTCTTCCCCAGTGCCTCCTGCCTTATTGTGAATTAGTATTCGCATGTTAGAGAAAACATCCGGCCTTTGGTTTTGTGGAACTGGCTTATTTTGCTTAGCATGATATTCTCCAATTCCAACCATTTACTGGCAAATGCCATAATTTACTCATCTTTAAAGCTGAGTAATATTTCTCTGAGTATATATACCCCATTTCTTTATCTATTTATCTAAGCATTCAGATGCAGGAAGGGTCACTACTTTTCTAAGGTTTCTAGTTTTTTTTGACAGGATGTGTAGACAGTCTGGCAGATATTTGGACTGTAATCTAAAGAATTCTGCCAGAAGACAGCAGCCTCAAGTACATATCATCTTCAGTAAAATTCAACTTACTGTGCCCACTTCTGCAATGTACATAGGCATGAAGCAACACTAGCCTTAATCTCATGGGACCATACACTAAGTCAAAGAAATTCACTCATTTATTAAATACTGTCTTTGGATCTTCCACATACTTCCATAAGTGTGTACAGAAGACCAGGAGGCTGACTATCTTTCAGTTGGTGATTCTTTGCAACAAGATATCTAAAACTGGGATTTGCATATCTTACCTTCTATACTCAGGACAAAATTAAAAAAAAATTCAAAAATAGAAAAAAAAAAGCAAAGAAAAATGACTGCTAATGAAATGTAATAATTAACTTAATCTCTGACAGGGAAAAAACATAAGATGAGTCTAGCAGTTAGCAATACAAAAGTACAAGACCATCACGACTTCCTTCCCATTTTGCTCTTCACCCAAACTTTTATTCTTTTAATCTGTACATTCCCATATAACTAATGAACAAAGTCCTTCATGTATGGGTTTTTATATACATGTAAATATAAATGAAGATCCTAAATTCATAAAAACATAAGAATTACCCCCCCACATACACACACACACACACACGTCAAATGTCACCATGGCAATTTCACTGACAGACGGGGTAAATCTGAAGAGATGCCAAAAGGATTTTCTGAGCTAGGATTATTAAATCAACAAAGAAAGTTAAAAACAAGGTAGAATATTCCCAGATACTGGTATCCACAATTCTTAGAAATATAGCAGGCCTCAAAATGTCCATGACTCAGTTTGTCTTGTCAAATTTAGGAGTCACCATAACACGTGTGGGCAGGGCTGCCTTTGAGGGCCACAGATAAGAGTGTGTGGATCTCTAAGCTCTTGGACTGGGATATAAATATAATATACATCAAGAAACACCACAGAATGGATAATTGTGTCCTGTGAAGGGTTTTCCACAGCACAGACAGGAAGCACCATATCTGATATGAAGTACTTTACACTTGCCTGTGCAAATAACCAGGAAGTGCCCTGGCAGAAGGCAGCAAGTCTACTCTACCTAATTGACATTCATTTAAATAATTCAGTAGTTTAAATGTCAAGCCAGAGGTATTCCCTCTCTGCAGAGCTCACCCACATTGTTTGTTCTAGAAGGCACCTCCCAGCATTACTCAGTGTTATGGCTGGCTCCATATGCCCTTTGTATCACAGGAACCAGGGCCGTGTGAAAACACTCACAGCCTGGGCTGGCTGGGAAAGGCGGCAAGTTCTGACCACAAAT